CGGTGATTTTCTTTTGGGGTCAATCTTTCTTGAGGTATGTTCAGCTTCGTGAGTGCTTATCGTCTCATGTTTCAGGATGTTAGGGAAATTTCTTTCCAACGGCTCTTCAACTATCTTCTCTGTGGTTTTCTGTGTTTCTTCTTGTTCTGGGACTCCAGTCACCCATTGTTTATACCTCTTCATGTTGCCCCATATGGATCTTAGACTTCCTGTAGATTTTTTCATCCTTTTTGTTACTTGCTTTTTTATCTTAGCAGTACAAAGATTTGTCTTCAAGTGCACTGATTCTGACTTTCATCCCTTCAGTTGTATTCCTTTGTCCTTTCAGTGTATTGTGCATTTCTGATATTTTAGTATTAGTTGTCTGGACCTCTTTTTACAGGCTTTGAATTTTTCCAATGCTATTTCTGACTTATTTGATTGTTCCTGTAACACATTTCTGAATGTTTCTTTATTTTCCTCAACCTTGTTTTGGGAATTTGGAGGCACCTCAATATCATTCTCCTGAATTTATTATTGGGCAATTACAAAGCCTGCTCTCCTTCCAATGGGAAGTCTACATTACCTCCAGTTCATTTGTTTGAGCTACTCTGGCATGTTTCTGCACATAAGCAGAATCATTACTGTTGCTTTTTAGGCATTATGGTGCTGTTGTATTTTCAATAATTAGGTGGATGTATGTTGGTGTATTCCTGAGGTCTCTGATTGCTCCTGATAGGTATGCTCAGGAGATGAACTTTTGTTTTAACTTCTCTTACTACTCAACTCAGAGTGATTTTAGCAGGTGTTGATTAATTACACTCTTCTGGTGTATAGCAACTGGTATTGGGACTTGTCCAGATTGTAGGACTTTATAGGGTGTGATTATAGCTTGGCTATATGACTGCAATTGCTGTCTCTTGTTGAGTAAGACAAGAAGAGAAAGAGCCCCCAAAGATAAAAGAGTAACCAAAAAGCAGACTGGACACTAAAGTCCAAAATCACCAAGCAAAACAAAAGAAAACAAAAAAACAAAATCAGCAATAACAACAACTACACACACACACACACACACACACACACACACATATATGTGTGTGTATTTATGTATCTGAATGAATAAGTCTTTAGTGCCCCTTATTTGGCTTCTTGCCTTCATAGCTGCCTGAGAAATTTAAAGATGTTATTGTTATACCTTATGATGTAACTCAAGGTTTTGTTTTTGGGTTTTTTAATTCTCTTTTTGGCTTGCTCACTATCCCTCAATCCCATTCGGGTGTTTCTTTTAGTGAAAACCAGCCCAGGACTGGCCAGACCCATTCTGGAAGATACTCCCATTTTATGCTGTTGTTGGTGGCACCTTACCCTTCTTTGATTCTGCACTTAGCAATCCTTGCTGTGTTGTCCCTTCGATGTGTGTAGTTGAACCTTCTCTGAGGGTGTCCATTTGCTTGGGATCCCTTCTAATACCCAGAGTGAAGGTGGGCAGACAGAGGAAAATTAAAAAAACAAAAACAAAAAAATGTTCATGTCTGTATCTCTGATGATCAGTCAGACCTCTGCCATGGGAATGTTTTCTTGACTTTGTATTTGCTCCTTCCCATTCAAAATAACTGTGCTGGGATTCTGGCTTCTGAAAATAAAAAATCACCTTCTTCTCCATATCTCCTCGTGGTAAGCCATCGATCATTGTAAGTATCCCTTTACATGAAGTTTAGAGTTCTGGGTCTGTCCTTTCAACCTGTTTCATTTGGTATTCTGTGTTATTACTGGCAGAGGTTTGCACAGGATTTCTCCATAATCCTCCATCAAGGCCCTATTCAACCAATATTAAGCAACAATCCACAATACATGACTTTTTTTTTTTTTCAAATGTTGAAATATATAGAGAAAGGGTATTAAAAATGTGGGTGAATAATTTTCTACTCTGCATCAAAAGCCATATATGTAAAGAAGGAGTAATGATAATATTTTAGAAAATAGCAGTTTATTCATTATTAAAATTCCTTATTTGATATCATATTTGTACAAAAAACTTACCTTAGAATTGATAAAGCAAAAAATGGTAAGAGATATAACCTTGAGGAATTTATAAACAATATAAAAGATAGATAAGACACAGCAATTGCTATAATTTCAAAATGTAAAGTAGTTTGTAGAACATTTCGTAAGACACATAAAAAGAGATTACATCCTTTGCTCAGGTGGTCCATGTAATATCCATTTGAAAGATACTTGATATGTTCAAGACTCTGGCAGGAATTGGAAACATATGAACTCTAGTAAAAGGAGGGATATATTTCTCTGTACAAGATAGACAAGTGACTAGAAAATGCTTTGAAGAATAAGAATTAACCAAAAATTAGAGCAGATTCAGAGTGGAGCAAATGCCTGAAGTAAGAAAGATTTTGATCAATTTGAAATTTTGGAGTGAAATTCCTAAATGTTTCAATATCATATGCCATAGTGGAATAAAGTAAGATAACTGACATTATGAATATAGTTTTCCTTCTAGAATGGAGATTATTGGCTTCCATATTTTCTACAAATCAAAATTATATTATAAGAGTAGAAAAAATACCTATAAAATTTAATTCCAATTATCTAACAGTAAAGTATTGTCTTCAAAATCCTTTAAAAAACCAACCACATGCTAAGGTGCAATTACTGATTTCTCCACATGTGGAAGAAAGAAGAGTGAAAGAATTAAAGATGCCTGAAATCAATGAGTCCAATGGACTAGTGGGAGATGTTAACATCAGTCTCTACAACTCTGAGATCAGAAGAACTAGATGGTGCCTGGTTACTAGTACCAAACGCTATGAAAGGGACAGAGTTGGAGAAAATGTGGGGGAAAATTTTAAATTGTGCATATATATTTGTTGTTGTTAAGTACTGTGGAGTCAGTTCCAACTCATAGTGACCCTGCACAGGGGTTATGAGGCTGTAAATCTTGATGGGAGCAGAAAGCCTCATCTTTCTCCTGCAGAATGGCTGGTACTTTCGAACTGCGGACCTTGAAGTTAGCAGCCTGATTCATAACCACTATGTTACTAAAGCTTTATATATACATAGAGAGAGAAGGCTAGTCATACTAGTTAGAAAGAGACTGGAAAAATCTGAGACTATGGCCCTTGACCACTCTTGAAGTCTGGAAAGGAGCTCACCATCATGGTCCAAATTTTTAGTGAAGAAGTAGATGTTTCTATAGTGGGGGCATCACTAATAATGTATGCATATCATGTAATGGTCAATCATTCAAAATCAATAGGACAACACTTACTTAAGGAAAATGTGAGAAGAGAGGGGATGGTGGGTGATATGGGAATAGGGACAGAAAGAAAGGGATTACAGCATTGAGATGAAACAAACTATATGATTTGTTGAATATAAAACTAAGAATGATGTCTGTAAAACTTCACTCATATAATGATACCAAAAAAAAAAAAAAAACCCAAAAAACTATCAATATAATATATATACACATTAAACAAAGTAATTTCAATTAAATTGGCTCTGATGCATATTGATCCCATGTTTGTTAAAGTGTAATTGTGTTCCATAGGTTTTCCATTTGTAACACCCAGTGAATACCTCTTAGTTGATACCATTTGTGCCTATGTACTTAAGAGAAAATAGATATTAATATGAATATATATTAAATACATATGTCTGTGCCTTATGAGAAAATGGTTGTGATTTTTACTTCATTTCAAAATAGAAATAAGAATATTATGGAGGCCAATGAAACACTGCATACTTTACCTTTCTAAACTGTAAGGACATCAGTAGTAATTAGAAATTTGAAAGATGTGAGATTCAAAGTCATCTTCCAATATTTTAATTCTTCATTTATTCATTTTTATTTTATTCATTCATATTTCTTTCATTTTCTCCCAGGTATAAATGTCCTCACACAGAGATGTCCAATTCTACCATGGTTGTGGAGTTTCTCTTGATGGGCTTTTCTGATACAGGGGAACTATGGATTATGCATGCCATAATCTTCTCTCTAATGTATTTAGTGACACTCACTGGAAATTTTGTCATTGTTTTTGTCACCATCCTGGACAGCAGCTTTCACACCCCTATGTATTTCTTTCTCAGGAATCTCTCCATTTTAGATATATGCTACATTTCTGTAACTGTCCCTAACTCATGTATCAACTCTCTGCTTGATAGTGGTAGCATTTCAAAGGTAGGATGTATAATTCAGGTCTTCCTAGTGGTTTTCTTTGTATATGTGGAGCTGCTCTTCCTTACCTTCATGGCCCATGATCGCTATGTGGCTATCTGCCAGCCTCTTCACTACTCTGTGATCATGAATCCTCAGGTCTGTATCCAAATGACATTGGCATCCATCCTCAGTGGCTTGGTCTATTCAGGATTCCACACAGGCAACACCTTCAGGCTTCCCTTTTGCCAGTCCAATATTATTCATCAGTTTTTCTGTGATATCCCCTCTCTGCTGAAGCTTTCCTGTTCTGATACCTTCAGCAATGAGATTATAATCCTTGCCTCCAGTATAGGAATTGGTGGAAGCTGTTTCATCTTCATCATCAGGTCGTACATTTACATCTTTTCTACGGTGCTCAAGTTCCCAAGTGGAGCAGACAAAGCTTTTTCCACCTGTATTCCTCATATTCTAGTGGTGTCAGTCTTCCTCAGCTCCGGCTTCTATGTATACCTAAAGCCATCTGAAAACTCTGCAACTGTCCAAGATATAGTTCTCTCTGCATTGTATTCCATAATCCCCCCTCTACTCAACCCAATTATCTATAGTCTTAGAAATGAACAAATAAAGCATGCCATCAGAAAAATCATGAAAAATAAATTTCAGTCAAGAAATGTATAGAAAATTGCTTTGTCTCATGCTAAATTATAAAATGGAATTTATATTTTTAACAACAAATTGAGATTATGAGTTGTAATTATGTAGATGCACTTTATGTAAATTCTATATATTTGGTGGTGATAATGGTTGTGGGCACAGTGTTTTGTTCTGCTGTGCATAAGGTCATTATGAGTTGGTACCGACTCGATGGCACCTAACAAAAACAACAGCAATGGTTGTGTGAACTGAGTTGGTTCTAATTCATAGCAACTCCGTACAGTGGTTCTGATGCTGTAAATCTTTATGGAAACAGAAAACTTCATCTTGCCCTGTGGAGTGAGTGATTGGTACATGTGAACTGTTGACTCTGTGGTTAGCAGCCTAACTCATAATCTACTATGCTACTGTTGTT